AGAAAGAGAGAGTGAGAGAGCGAGAGAAAGAAAGCAGGAAAGCACAGAAAGAAGCATATGTTCAGATTCACACATATCCACATAATGTCTATACACGTGTATATATATATATAGATATCTATATTTATATGTATATTTATATTTATATCTATATTTATATTTATATGTATGTGTGTATATATGTATATATATATATATTATATTTATATTTATATTTATATTTATATTTATATTTATATTTATATTTATTTATATATATATACATAGATATGTATGGCCCCTTCTCGTTGTTTCTTCCTTCCTGTTTTTATGCATTTCATTCGTTCGGTGGTTCTTCCTGTGGTGATTTCCTTATTGCTCTATTTCTGCCTTTTTCTTATATTGAAACTTGTGTCTGTCTTCACCTTGGTCTTGCTATGTGGCTTGTTTCTGTCTGTATTTTGTTCGTTCTTTCTTTGTGCCTGTCGTTTGTCATTCCCTTGTGTTTTTCTGTCTCTTCTGCGGTGTTTATTTATCTTCCTTCATTCTTTAGGTATGTCTTGCTTTCTTTATGAATCTTCCTCCGTTCTTTCCTTGTGCTGTCCTTGTTTCGTTCTGTCCCTCTATCTTTCTCTGTGCGAAAAGAGAAACCCAACAGGAGCGGAGGGGAGAGGAGAGGGAAGGGGAGGGAAGGGGAGGGAAGGGGAAGGGGAGGGGGAGGAAAGGGAGACAGAGAGAGAGAGAGAGAGAGAGAGAGAAGCAACCAAAGAAAACAACTAAAGACTGAAGAGAGAGAAAGAGACAGAAAGAGAGAGACAGAGAGAGAGAGAAAGCAAGCAAGCAAGCAAGCAAGCAAGCAAGCAAGAAAGAACGTATACAGCTATGCACGTATGTAATGTTGATTAAGTGGTTAAGTAAGTCGTTAGTTAGCTAATTAGGTAGTTAGTCAGTCAGTTAGGTAGTTAGTTGGTTAGTTGCATTTATCCTTCCTTCCTTCCTGGTGCGGGGGATCCGGGGGGTTCAGGGGGTGCAGGGTTGTCTTTTTCTTTGTTGTAAGTCCCTTGTTTCGTTCTTTCTTCCTTTTATGCACTTCATTCGTTCCGTGGTTCTTCCTATCTTCATTTCATTCCTGCTTTATTTCTGTCTGTCTGTCTGTTGTTCTTTGTTTGTTTCTTATGTAGTTATTCCTTCATGTTTTCATTCCTTGCGTTATTATTTCTTTCTTTTTGGTTGCGCTTGCTCATGCTCGCGCTCTTGCTTTGCCTTCTTTCTTTCTTTCCTACTGTCCCTGTAACGTTCGGCCGCGGCCTCCTCGTATACAGTTTCTGACAGCCTCTGACTCTGGCTGCCCTGACTCGGTGCTGTGCAATCGAGTGGCAATGAGCAGAGGAGACCAACCGTCTTCTGCACATGGCTGGACATAGCCAGGAATGCGACAGTATGTCAAGGCTTCATGGAGGATCCTGCTTCGCTGCATGCAACAGCCGATGCACTTCTCTGCATCCAGCTGAGCGAGGAGCTCTCGTGTAGATGGAGTCATGCTGAAACTCCCGTCAGGTTGCTGCTTGGGATCCATGCCTGTGCAAGCAGAATCTTGCTCCAACCTAGGACTGAACAATTGCTCAAAGTCACATGCACACGCACACACACGCACACGCACACACACGCACACACATGCGCGCGCACACGCGTACACACACGCGTACACACACGCGCACACACACACACCCACCCACCCACCCACCCACCCACCCACCCACCCACGCACCCACCCACCCACCCACCCACCCACCCACCCCACCCCACCCAACCCCACCCCACCCCACCCCACCCCACCCCACCCCACCCCACCCCACCCCACGCACGCACGCACACAGAGACACACACACACAGACAAACACACAGACACACACACACACACACATGACAACACACTTCGGGCCCAAAGCTTCGGGAATAAATGCCTGCTCAGTTCATGCAACAAATTGACAAAAAGGGCCCTTCCCAACCAGCCTGCGTTTTTGCACACCATTACAGCAACCCGCGGGCAAGTGTGCTCGTATTACTGGGCAGGTTGAGGTGGACATACCCCTCCGTGTTGCGGTGCATCTTTTCCCGGGAGCTTGCCAGGAGTGCGGGTTAGCGGTCTTGACCAACCAATGGCAATGATTCTACAACGTACGAGCTTGCTTAGCGTGCATGACCAATTTGTTTCGAACCTTTGCATAAGGAGCTTGTGTCTTAGTCCAACCCTCGTCATGTCTGGAACATGCTCAAGATATTTCCATGGCTTCCCGTTTGGGAAGCTGATCCATCAACATCGGTCTTGATGCGTGCCCTTGAGAAGAAATCTATCTGCAAGCCTTGTCCATCATACTCCTATGAAGCAAAGAAGCGACTTGCTTTTGATTTGTTCTGGTCTCATGTGCGTGTTCGGGGAGGAACATCCGTCAGCTGGTGAAAGGACGGCCCGGCCGTTCTCGGCAATCCGTGGACACCAGGAGGAGTCAAGCAGTAGAAGTTTTAATGTATCCCTGTTGCAGTGTTCACTGAGCTTGCGGCTTCACACTTTCTGAGACTTTTCTGTGCCGATGTTGACTGGACCAGTGCTACCGCATGTATCACAGCATTGGTTTAGATGAGCGGCCGGCATGGCATCATGAGACAAATGTACACTCGATCCAGAATGAAACGCGAAAGTATCAGAGCGATCTTTTCCTCGCCCCTTGGAGTGCCGCATCTGTGCAATCAAGCCTCCGGCCGATATGATGCCGAAACTTGGCTGAGACAATCTACTGCCTCCGCCACCGGCCCATACGCCGGGCTATCATGCCCTCGAAAGTAAGGGTGAAGAGGGTGGGTCAAAACTCTTTCCGGGATCTCGAGCACGGCAGCTGCGACACCAGCTTTCTGCTTCGAGATCCCCATTTGTCACAACATACTGAAAGTCTGAACCGACAAATGTACACTCGATCCAGAATGAAGCGCGGAAGTATCAGAGCGATCTTTTCCTCGCCCTTTGGAGTGCCGCATCTGTGCAATCAAGCCTCCGGCCGATATGATGCCGAAACTTGGCTGAGACAATCTACTGCCGCCTCGTCTCAGCCCCCTGCCCGTCCAAAGTCGAGGCAAAACCGCCCCCAGGAAGAAAACGCCACTCCAACTGTAGCAAAGCCTTCGGCGCCACCTCCAGCGCGTACTCGAGGTCTGTAGCCACCCGCTTGAAGATTGGCCACAGCGCGTCCATCGGGGACGCCAGCTCGTGCCAATGACGAGATCTGCCAATCGAGCAATCGCCGCGAGAGAAAGGGTCAGCGATATTCAGATCACTGGCCATCCACTCGAAATGTGGCTGCCATTCCAAGAGTCGAGCCACTGCCCAAAAACAAGCCAGAAGGTTGTTGATCGTGGCATCGCGGCCGTAGCCACGAACCAGCGCTGATCGGCCAGCCATATTATCGCAGAAGCCCACCCAGACCTTCGGGAGGATGTCTCGGCATGTCAAGGCTGCCAGAATTTGGCGGAAAATTTCCAAACAGTAAATGTATGCGCGCCGCGGTGTAAACAGTGCGAGCACGTCGTTGGGCACACTTCCGTGTGCAAAACGAATTACAGAATGGCAGCGAACGACGAAGCCCCACCCGTTCCGATATCTCCGAAAGCTGGTCGAATACCAATTCTCCGGTGGCTCGTCGGACAAGCCAAAGGCTTTATCCCCCAACTCGAAGAAAGCATCAGCGTACAGGACGGCGGACGACTGAGTCGCGGGCTCAAAGGGAACCCAGCGAGGGCTCGGGCTTCGCAACAAAGTCTGCAAGGAACGGAGCGCACACCGCAGAGGCTGATTCAGCTGACTTGCCGTCTGAGAATTGCAGTCATGAGCCCGTGAATACAACGGCTTCATCGCAGCGGCTGCCGCCTGACCAAAAAGGGTCGTCGAGATGAAGTTCAGCTTGCCTGTAAGCCGCTGGGCCACCACCGGCTCGAGGCAGTCATCCTGTAACGCCTGTTGGATGACTTGCAAGACCTTCTGAATCCGATCAGTGGCAGGTGCGAGGCTTACACCCTCGAGGCAAACTTCCAGAAAAACACCTAACAGCTTATGCCTAACCGCAGGGACCTGCGCAGCAGACGGCTTGAGTCGCATGCCCAAAAGTTCACACAGCTCAGTAAAACTTGCGAAACTGCTGGCCGCGCTATGCCGAGCATCAGGACAACCGATGTCATCCACGAAATGAATCACCAAAATCAGCAGCAGACTTCTTGCCAAATAAGTCAATGCATCCACGCACCTATTGAAACACCACACTGAGGATGCCGCGCCAAACGGTAAAACACCGTGACGCCAAAGAGTTGGCCCCGATGGTGTAAGCAGCAAAGCAACAGCATGACTTGTCTCCTGAACAGGAAACTGGCGATAAGCCACCTGCAGGTCCTGACACCAGAGTTCTGAAGAATGGCCTGCAGCATTCAGTCTTAAGAGGATCTGCACACACTTATCGATATCGTCGTGAGCAGGAACATCCGAAACGTGAACGGTAGCATTATGCCCACTCCTTCTGTAATCTTCGCAGCGTCTGACCTTGCGCGAGCCATCGCTGCCCTGTTGCACCACGGAGAATGCCGCAGCAACCTTCGCATCTTCTTGCGCCGGCAGACAGACAGAAAAATCCTGATGAGAGGCGACTGGCACACACTGACGTGGCCAATCGCTGGGCGCAGCATAAGGGCCGGACATCCGACCTAAAGCAACTTCCTGAAGAATCTCATTAAGTAGGGCCTCCCACTCTGCATCAACTCTGCCTTTGCGCAGTTTCTCAATCACATGCTGCTTATTCAGAGAGTCAAAAGCCGACTGAGTAATCGGATGATCGTACCGGTCATCCAAACGAGGCCTCCAGCCTGGTGATGGCTCGATGCGTCCCAAGACAGGAAAGCCTCGAGAGAGCGCCTCTGCCAGCGCGTCAACTTCCGGATAGGCACAACCTCGGAGGAGCTCAAGAAACAAAGGAATCTGAACAATGCCGCCATCCGGTAAAGTATATGCCTGTTGGACATGTGGTTCCAACGATGCGAACCATTCTTGAGTGTGACTTGTCATCTCTTGCTTACGTCGTTTGATATCACACAAGACCTGCCGTCGAAATTCGGCAAGCCTCTCGGGTTTGAACTTTAGCAATCGCTGCAATGTAAGCTCGATGGCGGGTTCTAGAGTGAGGCGCTGGTGTAATGGATGCACAGCTTCAGCAGACAAATGCCAGTGATCCCACATGTCAACAGCGGGTTGCATGTCAATGTGTACACTTGTTTCAGCTTTCCGCTGCATGGACAATGGATGTCGACCGGCCAACTGCTGAGCCGACTCCAGATCCCTAACCCCGGACACGTCGCTCGCATCCGGGGCGTACGGCCCCGGCAAGGACCGCACGCCAAACAACAGAGAAAATCGCATCATCTCCGTGGCCACCCCCATGTGCCAAGAGTTGCCCAAGAGGCGATGACGATCCTTCTCAGAGACCTTCGATCAAAATGATGCAAAGCCTCCTTGGTTTCAATCGGCAAAAGATGCAGCTTGCTATCCTTGTCACGAAGCATAGCTGTGTCTGCAAAGAACCACGGAGCGTACTGTCGGTGGCCCTGGAGCCCTCTTCGATGGCTGGGGTCGTCAGGCAAGGTAGCAAAACCTCACCCATGAGAACCTTCTCATGAAAAACTAACCCCTCGGGCTGCAAGTCCTGCATGGAATCTTTGGGAACATCCAAAATCAACTGGGCAACTTTGCCTTGCTTCTTCCACTTGATCTCCGACTTGCCTCCAGGGTATGTCCTAACGGATGTCCAATCGGTCCACGACCACCATAGTCGTGGCCTATGAACTGCGCCGTAATCCGCAGCATCAGCCAAAACAACTTCAGCATCCAACTGCTTGCAAAACCATTGCGTGTCCGCAGGGTTGTGCATCACCACATTTTCAACGAGCAGACTTGCCCGCCTCCCGGGCAAGAGGTTCAGCAGTGAGCGGATGAACGTGGTGAAGTGCACGAAAAGGTTGCCGGACGGGCCATGCCGCCCGGGTCCGCTGTCAGAGCGAATCCGACTGAAGTCGGGGCAAGACGCCGCCGCCGTAATCACCAGCAAATCTGCCGCCCCACCTGGAATCTGTTCGACCGCCCTAGCAGCTCCTGCTGGGCTGTCGTCCAACAAGCTGCCCCTTTGGGTTTTCGTCGTCTTCCTAGAAGACCTTCTTGCGACCGCAATGGCCGCCTCATCAATCTCCCAAGACAACACATGACGAACCGAAACACCAAGCCTCTGAAGCGCCAGCGTGGCTGAACCCACTCCAGAAAAGAAGTCCAAGTGAATCACAGACTGAGGTAAGCTGGCTGCTGCTGCACCTTGCCCTTCCGGCCTTGAGTCCGATGATGAGGCCGGCACCGATGAAGACTGGCCCACCGTGTCCACCTGTTCGGGCGGGGGTGGGGGAGGCGGTGGTGGACGCTTTGCCACCGAGCTCTCGCTCGGCGCCGAAGAAACCTCGTGAGGATCATCATGCCAGCCGCCCGGTCTCAACCAGGCAGCTGGGCTCGTGCCCAAATGCCAAGTTTGTGGCCAAGATGGCTCGGGACACTCCGATGTGCCACGGGTTTCGGAGCTCCCGACTCCCTAGGCAGTTGGCCGCCACTTCTTGGGCCACTTGCTCCAATCCTGTTGCTTCGAGGAACTCCAAGCTTGCTGATTGGACTCCCACGCCTGGCGCTTGCGGTTGTCATCCGCCTTGCGGGGGCTCTCCTCAGTCTGCTTGCGCTTCTTGCCTTCGCCTTTGGCCCCCGACGCCTTGCCCGGTGCTGGCACCGGGCGACTCATGACCTCCTGGAACAAAACGCAGGTCCTCGCGAACAGCTGCAACCGATTCTGCAAAGGTGCGCCCCGCGCGGAGCTCCCGGCAGAGCTTCCAACTAGCAGACTCGTAGTAGGACCTGAAAGCATCCAGTTGCTGAGGTCGCTGGCGGGCCTTGTGGATGAAATCGTCGAAGAGGGCTCCAACATCAAATTCATGTCCGTACTCTAAGAGTATGTAAGCCCACCGCAATGCATCCAAAGCATCAATGACTGCAAGCATTGATCGCGGCTCCCAAGAATCCTCAGCTTCCTCAGCCACAAATCAATCACGGTCCACATCCACAACCAACTCCTTGCTAAGCTTACGCTTGGACAGCGCATTCACTGCCCCCGTGGCGTCAAACGAACGCCTGCTCATGATCTCTCCCAAGGGAAGAGGGGCAAAGTCCCTCGTAACCTTCAGCTGGTGCCACAACTTAGCCAATGAAGACTCAGCCCCGAGGAGCTTCTGCTGAGGGAACACCCTGGACCTGCCATGAATCTGGACTGCCTCGTACTTCCGGATCTGCTCTGTCCACACTCCTGGAGGTAGAGTGCGCGGCACCTTATCAGCGTCCTTGGAACCTAAACTGGCTCCAGGAGAGCCTGGAGTCGCGGAGGGGAGCAAAGGTCCCGAGGCGACCACTGGCTCTGTGGCTGCATGTGAATCCAGCCAGCTTTCTCATGAAAAGAAGCACTGCTGCAGCTATCGGTCTGTCTGCCTCTTGCAGCTCAATGCGATCTGCCCCGACCCCAAAACCTGCCAAAAGCGGCGCAATCACTACATCACGACATGTTGACTCGTCCGGAGCCAGCATGGCCAGCGTACCAGCTGATGTCACCCCGCGCATCCGGAGGTACCTCCGCACATCGGACCCAGCTCCTGCCGCATCTGCCACAGCCTGCAGATCCATCGCCGGATCCGTCAGCAGGCTGGCTAGTGCTCCAGCCCAAAAACTCCGACAAACAACAGCCAAGCATGAAGCTAGCATGCGCCACGAGAAAAGAGCAGTCTGATGCACTTCCGGAACCGGCACAACTCAATGCGAGAAGCTGTTTTGGCTGGGGCCGCAACGCAGTGCTGCCAATGAAGACCCCCCCGCGGTTGCATGAGGAAGCTCACCGGGGGCCACCTGCCCCGGATCACCGATTAAAAACTCCATCTGCTCTCGAAGCTGCTCTCACTCGAGCGAGCCTCGGCGCGATAGTGGAGCCGCACTCGCGCGGCTGATCCAGCACCTACCGGCTGGCTCAATCCACCTCCTGTAAGTCCACTACATGAGACGGAGCCATGGCCTGGTCACCGGCCACAATCATAATCCCCGCTAGATGAAGAGGCGATGTAGATGGCAAACCGAGGTCCTGACCACACCATTCACACACTCAGCCCGCGGCTAAAACTGGCACCGAACCAAATTACACCAGCGGGCAAAGAAGCGTTCTGAAAAAGAACGGCTGCGCTCGCCACAAAACTGCACTGCTGTCCTACGAAGAAGAATCACTGCTGGAGCTAGAAAGAGTGCTGGACGACTCATCACTCGAACTGCTGTCGCCTGCCCCGTCGCTGGGCTCGGCTCTGGCCTTCCCTGGCTCAGGCAAGCAGCGCTTGCATCTCGCCCACTCCGGGCGGGAAGCACTCGTGCGAAAGAACCTAGTGTTCCCATAAAGAATGCCGCATGCTGTGGCCCACAACTCTGGCCTGGCCCTCGGCTCGTCCGCGTCTGGCATGTGGGCTCGCTTGGATCTTGTGTTAACTACCAACGTCTGGTCTGCAGCATCTGTCCGACCAACGAAGTCCGCGAACTGCAGCCTCATCGCAGCTAACTCAGCCTCGCCCCTGGCAGGCATACACGACTGGGCCTCGCGCGGCTCCGATCTGCCGGCTGCCGCCCCCAGAGCAACCAAGTCCGAGTTCGAACTCGGGTCACGAACCGCCAACTGATGATCGACCGGCGGCTCTCGCGCCTGGCCTGAAGATAAAGCTCGAGCCACTGTCGAGGGCACCAGAAGCAAGGGAGCTGCTTGCAAATATCGCTGAACAGCCAAAGAAGACCATCTACCATGAAGTTGCACCATGTCAAACCGAACGCCAAGCAAATACAGATGTTGCGCCCCTGCCACTCTGAGGACGTGCCCAGAGAAGCGCTCGACTTGAGCCCCCGACTCGTCCGGTCCTGTTCAGACCTGCCTGTAGAATCTCCAAACGCTGAAGGTGCCGGGCCCCGGCATGCCACGGGCACATCTCTTGCCGGCGAACCGCGCATCCGCAACAAAGCGCCCTGGTGGTGAGCTCGCCCTGCGACGAACTCTTGTGGGCAGGGAGAAGCATATTCAAACGGCCGTCCTGAAAAGACAAGTGTGATGACGAAGCTGAAGCCATCTCTATCTCTCGCATGCAAAAGTAAGCTGCAACCAACCATGCATCCACAGCAGCTGGCAAACTGGACCATGAAAAGGCCTGGAACTCTGACCCCTCCAGCACCGACGGGGCCAAGCACCTAAGGTCAAAGGAGTCCTTCAAAGCCGAAGGGCCAAGGCCCCTCCGAATGCATCGAACACAATCTCGAATAATGGACCTGATGTGCGGGGGGACTGTCATGTGCAGGCGCCTCGCCTGATGAGATGCAGCAGCCGAAAAATACTGCTCAGAAGATCTGTACCTCCCTCGTTTCAGCGATGCTGCTACTGCTCGAACGTTACGGTCGTCCAAAGGAAATGCCGGAACATCCCACTTCGCGCATATCCTTCGCCAAACCAACAGCCGGCTCTCGTACGGCCCAATGGTCGTCTTGGAAGCACCTCTTGATCCAACTCAGCTAATGCTTGGGTACGCTCAGATGGCTCCCCTGCCAAAAGAGCATCCGTCAAGGAGGCTCGCTGCCTCTTTCGCACCGGAGGCTGGTCCGCCCTCCACTGGGGCAGCAGCAGCTTGTGGCCCGATGACCCGGCCACTAGCAGCTCCAGTTGCCAACGCTGGACCCCGACATCCAACAAACGCTGCCAAGAGCCCTGAACTTCCTCAAGCGAGACAACCCCGGCCTGAACACACAACGGGGCAATCTCCGAAATCCCCCTATCTCTAAGGGCTTTTTAAAGGACGGCCGCCGAGGCCATGAGCCAAACAGAAGCTAGTCACCGGCACAAACTTTCACCGAGCAGGCAGGGAAACAAGACAGCATCGCGGGTCCTCGCCAAGCTCTTGCAGGAGCTCGGTCAAACTGGCCGCCGCCCGAGTCTCGAGACCTTCCTCCACTGGTAACAGCAATGCAAGCTGGACCTTAGAGGCCAGAGTCACACCGATCTCCTTGTCCATTGCCTGACCAGCATCCTGCAGTGAATCACCTTGCTGATAAAGAACGCCAGTGCCAACGGGCTCCATGGAGTCAACTTGGAGACTGGTTAACAAATCTAGGAGAGGCATAAGAGCAGCAGCCGCCGGCCGAGAAACAAAGGAGTGCACCAGAATCAGAGCATGACGGAGTCGCTCATACATCCGATCGTAAATCTCCGCTTTCTCCAGCCCTGACATAACACTCAAGGCGCTCAGTCGCCTATGAGCGAACTCCAGCGCACGTGCCGAGCAAGCCATGCCTAATCCCTAAGTCAAAACTCTTTCCGGGATCTCGAGCACGGCAGCTGCGACACCAGCTTTCTGCTTCGAGATCCCCATTTGTCACAACATACTGAAAGGCTGAACCTACTTCGCACGCTGCAGCAACAGCCCCGACAGAACACCAGAAGTCGAGGTGGTGTGACCAAGAATGAGATATGCCGAGATGCTAATATCTGTATCCGCTGTGGACTGCCGCGACAAGCTCAAGTCGTCGCCCGTTTCGGCGAGCTTGTAGTCTGTCCAAGAGGTTCGCCTCCTCACTGGAGGAGAGCAGAGTATATCGGACACATGAAAGCGATGTCACACCAACATGCTGGTGGTCCTGTTGTGGTAGACACGGGCATAACCCTCGGGCACTGTGTCCACCTCCTTTGGAGGTCCAAGATAGCAGGGAGCCAGCCTAAGCAGCACTTCAGAGAGACAGCTCGATGCGAACACGGCACTTCGGCCAGCATTTCGCCAGAGAACGGTCGACGCGGCAGCCGTGGCGCCATGACGAAGATGGTGACAGCGGACCGGGCGCCTTAATTAGAAGCCTGAGCCGATCTGAGCCTGTGAGAAGTAGCCTTAAGTACAGTAGTCAGGCTTGAAGCCATCGTGTCCGCCGAATAAGGGCCGAATACCACATTGCAATGCATGGCACATCATCAATACACACAGTTTCGTGCACGAGAACTGCTGCATGCTGTTGCGCGCTGCTTTGGCACCAGCTCATTCTGTGCACAGAGCTCCCGCTGCCGCTGGCTGCTGAGAGCAGCGGCTTGGGATGTACTCGTACAGTCGATTTCCACGCGTCACGGAGCTAAGTCATTTTTCAATCCCAGGCCAGCGAGCCTGCCCAATCCCAACTCCAAGAGGTTGGAGCAGGTCGGATGGTCCCAGTGCCAACAAAAGCTAACTGGTCAAGGGCTCCTCCGTAAAACTCTACGATGTCTCAAGATAAGGGCAGCGCCTTAAGGTGTCTTCAGCACAGGATCCAAATTTTCTGCTGAAGAAAAAATGCCGAATACGGCGGCTCCGGACCTCGAGCGGCACAAAGCGGACTTGACAGCTTGTGAGCAGAGCGGCGAAAGCTCGGGGAACGGAAGGGGAGCGGCTGCAAATGCACGCTTGACATGATGCATTGCTCCTTGCATGTTGTGTTATGTTGTGTTGCGAACTGGTAGGCCCAGGCAAGCAGCTATCCAATCATGTTTGATAAAAAATTGAGATTGGATACGTTGCCACAAAGCCTAAGCCTGCGCTGACGACACATGGCAAAGCTCGTTCCAATGCAAGAACCAAAAACAAGTCTGAAACGTGTCTACCCTCCTACAAACTCGTTGATGCTTGCGCTTGTCAACAACGAGTCGGAAAACAAGCCTGTGGTGAACATGCAAGAGTTTTAGGCCATGCTGCTGTCGTCGGTTGTGCAGATTCACACTGCGGTTATGTTGCCGAATGATAGCGGCTCTGCCGTCTGTTGTTGGGGCACGTGGAGGCCGCCAAACCTGTTAACAACAACGCCCGCAAGCTCCAAAGGAGCTCGCTGTCGTGACTTGCCATTCTGCTGCTACTCCAAGTCTTCATCCGGGCAACTCAGGCCAAGACAGATTCACAGCTAAGCAAATGAAAAACATGGAGCTCCACCCGCTGACCTGAAGGCAGCTTCCAGACGTCTTCAGCTCAAGAAAAGCAAAGCGATCACTCCAGAGTTTGCGCGCCTGGATCACAGTTCCAGCGATCAGTGGGGCAGCTGTGCTGGACAACGTTGCCACGGTGTTTCCCACTCCAGAGATGGATCCAGTGTGAGCTCGGCTAATGTCCTCCGGTTCTGCGAGATAGTCGCTGCTCACTTGGAAAAACAAATTTTAGGTCCGTGGCGCTCCAGATAATTAGTCTTGAAACCCGCAGCGTGGCAAGAAGCGGCACTCTTACCCAACACCTGGTTGTCAGTTGTTCGGCATCACTACAAAACATGCTAGCTGATTTCTGAGCTCCCGGCCAACGCTGCAGTGACTAAGACTGGTGAAGTTGTCAACGAACACAGCCCCAGTGCGGCACCGAAGCCTGATGTGAGCACAGAATATGGAACGACACAACCGACTACGGTACTCTAACTACACAGACACTGACACTGACAGCCGGCGAATTTCATCGGCAAACTCTTGGACCGGACAGCTGTTGCGTCCACCAGGGGTCTCGAATCGGCAATGAAGCACTTCAGAAGCAGCGCCGTCGATTACCAACAAGTTTGCGGAAACAAAGAATATTTGGAGAGCGCTCTGCTTCTGCGATGGTCGATGGTCGTTATGCTGGGAATGGGGTTTCTATCGGAGGGTGAGGGCACCCATACCTTTCGGAGAAGCGCAAGCACGAGTGAAGTTGCAGCGCAGGGATAGCTGGAGCCGTCGTGTGCTTGGGGAGAGGGAGTGTCTACCCGACACCAGTGCCTGTTGTCGCTGGAATCAATCTTCAACTGCAGCTCGGCACTGAGCACTGAAAGCAGGTAAGTCTGTGCCGCAGGCCGATGAAGCCGCTGCAGCTCAACAGTCTGCGCAGCCCCAGGATCGACAGCCTGAAGCGAAGACACCATCATGATGCCAAGCAGCTCCCACTGCTCCCGTTAAGCCTTCCCGATTTGACGAGCCGATCAGCGAAGGGAGCCACCGCGAGCTTCACAAACGCGTCAGCAACCTTACAAGGAGCAGACGCACCGGAAGAGGCTTTCGAAGTGCCACTGCCTGGAGGGCCGTCAGGCAGAAAGCAGCCGTGGCCGCCGGCACACCCAGCACCTGTGTGGGGCGGGCGTTCAACATCCCAAAAAGCCAGCATGCATCAGCCTGACTGTAAAATGTTGGAATCCATCCATAGAGAAAGTACCTGCACAGACGTCAGACATGGATCCCGCAGATCACAGGCAATGGATGTTTCATGGGCCTCCCGAAATTGAACACCGCATGGGCATAGCATACAGCCAGGACTGGCGACGAGAAGAATATGCGCCAGGAAATGCCATGAACCTGCAGGTGCACCGACCTGTGAAGCTTGCAACTATCTAAGCCTCAGCTCGTCTCAACCTTAACGGATAAACACCGCAACGAAATTGCCTTGGCAGGCTGGCTTTGGCTCGCCAGAGACTTGTTGACCACCCCCTGCCGATGTATTTGGTGTGGTAGGCCGTGCAGTGGTAGCCACAGCTTGCGCGCATCCCCGTGGATACTTGGGCCTCGTTGATGAGCATCTGCAACTCGATTTCGGATATGAAGGAGCTCGATGTTGGCAAGCCTGTTGTGAATGAATGCGAGCCTGCGAGCCGCTATCTGTGGCAAAATCTCCCTTCCAGGCGCAGTACTGGAGGCGATGCCGAGCCATGCCTCAGAGGCAATGCATCCGTAAGACAATTCTAAAGGATCACGATTGAAAATAGTGAAACTAGGCTTCTCACCATACAGAAACAACTGGAAAGCACTCCATAGACTGCCTTGGGATTGGGACACTGTGACAGGTCGCCCAAGCCTGTGGCTGGGCAGTGTCAAGTGCAGCACGAAGGTCAGTTGCCAACCCAAGAAGGATGCCAAGAAAGGACCACCTCGTGAAAAAGGAAATCTTGACACTGACAGTCGACCTTTCAGATTTCATTACTGCAGCCTCCGAGAGCTAGCAGCCCACCAACAGATCCGCCCGTGTCGGCCAAGGATGAGGCAGTGGAGCGTTCCTCGGCCTGAGCTTTCAAGCACATGCTGGCATTCCCAGTCCTTGTCGCGACATGGTGCACAAGGAGGCGGACTCGACCATTTTCAGCAAGCAATCAGGATAGTAAGACACTACCGAAAAGATAGTACCCAAGCTACCAACGAAACTCTTCTGTTTCTTCCGGGCTTGAGGAGGGGCACCCTCCCAACCCGAAGGTTGCGAGCATGAGATGTTGCCAGATCGTTTGGCAAGATCCAAAACCTGACCCAACATCATGCTATGATGTGAGCCTCTGCAAAAAACAGGACAGCCGATGCCATCTGAACAAAAATCGAGCATGCATCGAACAATACATGCCTCGCTGGGGCAGCAGGACAACTCGTCTCTGTGCCCTCGTTCCTGATAGTCGAATTATGGATGCCGCGTTATGGCTAGATCGTTATGAAGCACGACAAGATGGCCCCTGGTGCGTGCGAGTGCACAAGCACATCCGCTAAAGATCGTGCTTTCTCGAGTGCACCCCTACTGCACTCGAAAAAGCGTTCGGGCGGTTGCGTTTCGTCAGTGGTCTTGTTGCTACTCTCTGGTGTGAAAGCAATCAGTACTGATACAACCACCAGACTCAGCATCCCTCTATGGGAAAATTGTTCTCCAAACTCGCCGACGGCTTGCCTGTCCAACCATTCCGCTTGGAACTGGCAGCCGCGCAAAACACCCGCTGTGCGGCTACGCATCCTTGCTGTCAGAGATCAAGTCGACTAATTACTGGTTGCTGTCGACATACGCAAAAGGACAGCAAAGAGACTGCCTTGGTCAGCGCTCTACGGAAAGCAACAAAGCTCGCTTTGTCGCAGCGCAAACTATGAAAACTAGAGCCAAACAGAGCTTCGAGAGCTTCGGGTGCGCAGTTTCTGGGCGCTTTATCTGCTTGTGCCGCTTGCTGGCTCCTCCCATGCAGTCGTTAGAAAGCCTGATAGTTGGAAGCATGCCACTGCCTGTTGGAGCAGGGGGCGAAGTATGCAGGTACCGGAAGCAGCCAGACATGCGGTTGACACAGATTATGATGACGGCATATGATCAGATCCCAATTCCACTTGCGTTGCTAGCCACCCTGTCATCTGATGCCGTCACGCATCGGTCGCAAAAAACTTGAAGATCTTCAAGTGCACTTCCGAGCACCTGACCTATGCATGCCGCCAGTCTAGTTCAAGACCTTATCAAGAGCTTAGCGGCCTGCTGAACTAGGCTGGCCGATGCGAAGCTGTCGTTGACCGCAGAGTCTGTCATGGCCTGTCAATCCTGTATCCACATCAAAAACTTTATGTAAGGCTCTCGGTGTTGTTCGGCTCTACATGGCCTCTGTCAGAGAAGCTCAAGTTTTTGCGGCGACTTATCCTGCTTCGATCAAGGCCTCGTGGACAGGACAGAACGTGCAAGTCTTGCAATCCACCTGTGTTTCTCAAGTGCTTCATAAGGAGTGTTGTTGACACCGATGGAGTCTACACAAGACCTGCACGGTGGCTCTGACTAATCCCCTGCTAGAGTTAAATATGTTGGGCACTTGTCCCAGGCCGTTGGCGGAAGGGTGGCCTGGGCCACGGTGTGGACTTGCACGGACACGAGTACTGCATGAAGGAGAACAACTCACAATGCAAAGGGCCATGCCCGCCTTGTGAGCCGCCCATCGGCACGATGCAAATACTTCACTTCAGCGAAAACGCCCTGAAGTTGTCCATCCTGCAAGACCAGGAGCAAGGTCAAGTGCAACCTCTGATGCACTGCAACCATTTGAAGCACAGTCCAAAAGCGAGTTGGAGACACATAGCATTGTGTGACTGGACTCCTGACCACGATCAAGCACTTATCCGGGTTGTTGAATCCACTGCCCGATATTGAGATCCTGTTTCAAGCGGTGCAAGGATGCGCAAGGAAGCGAAGGCAGCCACATGGAAGTAAAGCTGCAACTTGGGATCGCCTCCTTGATCTTGCCAGGGCGAACCTAACGAAGCGTTGCTTCAATTCTTACGGCAGAGCAGGTGCTAACAAGATCTAAAGGTCAGCTCTCCAAGGAAAACTACTGGGATGTGCTGAGAAAGTGGTTGCATCTTTCTATCTTCCTGCAACTCGTTTGACTTTCTGGTGCAGCTTGCGTGCTTTCATGTCTAAGAGGTCGCGTGGTGTGTGGCGAGGCGCGTTTGTCCGTGGATGATCGTTGATATGTGTGGGGATTGTGTTCGGAACCCTTTCTAGGCGGACAGCTGTGTCTGCGAGACTGATAGTGAGAAGTGTGGGAGAAAATCAATTTGCTGTCGCTGATGGTCCAACGAAGCAGCTGGTGAATCTGACCATCCCGATTTACGCTCAAGTACGAAGCTCTGATGCTTTCGACATAGTGTGCTCATCAATGCTTCAATCGCATGCACTAGTTGCTGCGAGCTGTTCTTCCCCCGCTGCCGCTAAGCCTGGCAGTCGTGAGAAGATGATTTGATTAAACGATATTACACGAGTGCGCCGTTCGTTAGGTGGCTACAGTACTGTACTGTTCAACGTGCCATCTGCTGTAGGATTGCCTGCTTTGGGCTCTTATCGGCCTAGGCCATTATCGAATTATGGCTGCGACAGTTTGCTTACAACACTACTGCACTCCAGCTTGTCATGCTAGGCCCAGCACTGGATGCACAAGTAACTTGAATTTCTTGAAGAGTCAACCCCTCCTTCCACTATTCAGCAGATTGATGGGATATTGATGGGATAGAGCCAATCAGCTTTCGATTCCAATCAGTTCGACAAGCAAACATAAGGGGTAAATTCGGGCAACAAACTGAGTGCCTGCGCTTTGCTGGAAAATCCATCGAGGACGTACTGACATACCGGAGAATATTTTGACCTCCCTGCTGGGGTAAAATGCATTTAATTTGGATTTCGTCTGTTCGATGAAGAGTTGATAATAAGCTGTTGCCGAGACTGGGCTTGCATCGTTATGTATCCGAAGCTGGGAAAATTTCGTTTGACAGGCGAAGACAGCCGAAGTGTATAATCTTCCGCCAATGTTCTTGATAACAAAGCAGCAAAACTCAGACCTACAAGGCAAGCTCTGTGAAGAACCGGCTGCTCGCCTGAAAAGCAACAAGCCTTGAACAAGCAGCTTCGACATCTACCATGGGGTAATGGCCATGGTGGTAGCGGCAGTACAAGTAGCCGTCGTCGTAATAATGACAAGTAGTTATGAACATATTCATCATCATTATCATCATCATCATCACTTCAACAGTTATGCAAGTGAAACTACTATGTCAGTAGAAGTAGCAATAGCCGTAGGTACAACGAACAGCAATGGCAATTTGTAATTGCAGCAATCATCATCGTAGTAGCAGAGACTACACGCAGGAGACCGCCCAGAGACCACGAGGACACCTCCAGGCGGGATCTGAGGACCCAGAGACCACCACGAGACAACCAGGAAATCCCCAGGAAGCCACCAGGAAACCACAGGGAGACACCAGGAAACTATCAGCACGTCGGGAGACCCCAGACCTGACAACAAACTTGGTGCGAGGCACATCACTGGTGCTTTTGAGCCAGCTGCAATCGTTTATGAAACTTCCTGCCCATGTTCGAGCATGGAAGGAAGACTTCCGATTATGTGTGCGTTGCCACTCAACGCAGTCCAGGATGCTGTCAATCCGGCAAAACGTTCGCACATTCAAGCTTTCTTGATGCCCTCGAAGCTCCCAGAGCAATGAGCCAAGCACAGCAGATATGCAGTTTTAACGTTGGCATGACATCCTGTCATGTCAAGTCTTTGGTGATTCTGCGCACTGACATCGACATTGTGCTCGTCATGGCGGCCGTCATCATCGTCGTTGCTGATCTACTGACCGGTCAATGCCGACATCCACCTCGACCCTATCACATCATTATGGCTATGGCTACTGGTTCTGTGTGTCTTCGCGTCCTGAGGCAAGAGTTAGACTTCAAGCGATCCTGCTGAAGCAGCAACAGCAACAACCACAGCAGCAGCAGCAACAACAACAACAGCAGCAGCAGGAGCAGCAGGAGCAGCAGGAGCAGCAGGAGCAAAAGAAACAGGCACAGGAAGAGGCTTGCTAAAATAAGCGAACCAGACCACGAAAATCGTCTTTTGCCCCTGGCTACTATCTAGGGAGCCGGACTCGAGGCTGTGTAGTTCATCTGAGCCTGGCAACAGAAACGACCAAAGAGAGCCGCTTGCGAGCACAGTCTTTATAGGCGAGAAAACGTCCGGAAGCGAAACTTAGTCTGTAGGATAGCACTCTCTATTGCTTTTCAAGCTAGACTGACTTCATGACTTCATACACGCAGCAGGATTCATTTCGTAGCGTTTCACTTCGGCCTTGACAGCTGCACTGGCCCAAGTCCAGGCGTGCATCGAAGCCAGGCTAGCCGCCTTCAAAATCCGAGGTTGAATGAATGCACTTCGCTCTGCTCCTCGAAACTCAGCAGCACGCCGGCCACGACACTCAATCAAGGCTTCTGTCTTTGAGCGCGTGCGCCGATCCTTTTTAAGTGCTGTCGATTGGGCTTGGTGGCGGGTTTGCAGCTCGAAGCCACTGGACTCGGATTCCGCTCTGAGACGTAAGGACGTAGAAGCAAGAACGGACATCGACTGATTGTCACCGCGGGGTTTCTCCGGTACTCCTCCACAGCTTCACGAACGAAGAATCGCTCACTGAGCCAGGGTGGCTTAACTTCTCGGCTGTAGGAACACTGCTGCGTGAAATAATTCTCTCCGCAAACGGCACATGCTACTTAATCGTTTCGAGCGGCTGCCGTGTGCTCCATGGCTGCAGCGGCCATCGCCGTTGCCAAGCCTACGGATACTCGCGCCATGCATTCACCGATCTTTGACTTGTTACTCATGGCTCAGCCCTTGGCCAACTGGATCAGCATGTTCAGCGTTCAGCTGCGACAGCGGCATTTCCGGAGCCCTGGGTGCGATTAAGCACACTAGCAACTCAAGGTTCAACTGGGTCTAAGTGACATTTTCGCCGATCCTCCACGAAGGTAAAGATTTCAGGTTTGGCAGCGACGGAGCCGTGGGCAGCCCAGGTGTCCAGCTTGCCTTCACAGAAAGAAGGGGTCTACTCAAGCCTTTGCCTCAGGCGTTCAGCTGCACATTCTAGGCTCCAGACAAGCGGTGGCCTCAAGCCAACACGAGTCCAAGTCGCAGAAAGATGGGCTCATGCAGGCTTCACGTCAAAATGCGTTACTGATTTTTGTCAGGGCATGCGGGAATATGCAGCATTGCGGAGAAGAGCCGCGTTTCTTGCAGCCACGTGGCGTGGGCACCAAGTTGGACGATGGAGCGTCGTGAAAGTCTTCGACGGGGCCGAGTCCTCTATGCAGAACGGGCTTAAGGGCTTAATACATCTTAATACACAACTTTATCTGCCGACCCTGGCGCGCTCAGAAGCTGTGTTCCACCACTTCGTCTGCCCTCCCGAAGGCAAAACACCCCTGCCCTACCCGACTGCTCTCCCACAGTGGCCACCGCCATCCAAGCTCCCAACCCAGCTCTTCCACACCGCCCACCGGCCGCGCCTGGCCTGCTGTTGTGCCAGTAGGGTGATGTAAATTTAGTTCGAGCCCAAGGCAAGCCCAACCCCTCTACTACTAGTGCTACTACTAGCAGTAATAGCCCTCGTCGTCGTAATAGTCCTCGTAGTAGTCGCAGTAGTACTACTAGTACGTAGTGGTGGTAGTAGTGGTGGTAGTAGTAGTAGTAGAAGTAGTAGCAGTAGGAGTAGTAGTAGTAGCAGCAGCAGTAGTAGTAGTAGTAGTAGTAGTAGTAGTCACAGTAGCAGCAGCAGCAGCAGCAACAGCAGTAGCAGCAGTACCAGTAGCAGTACCAGTAGCAGTAG